TACTTTCAATTAGACGCTTTTACGTCGAAAGAGTTGGATATACTAGCAGTTGCATGGTACTGTGAATACTTCAAGAAATACGTACTGGAGAACCACTTTTACTTTTTAACAGATCACAAAGCTTTAGTTTCAGCACTCAAGGAAAACAGGAGTAATCGTGCCTATGAATCACGCCTAACATTATTACTTCACACATAGCAGGCTTAAATATTGGTATAGCAGATTATCTTTCTGGCAACCCAAAATTTCCAGCTCCACCTCAATCTAGTTATGACGAATAATTCGCGGTGAAGTCCATTCAAAACTTTGACAAGGCATGTAATTATCTCCAGAACATGTCCGGAAAAATTCAGCTATTCAGAACATACTCCGGAACACTGCTTTAACATATCAAGTCGATCCATTTATTCCACAAATTCTAATCATTATCCCAATTTAGTTAGTAATTATTTGCCTCAATTGAATTTTTTTAAATGGCTCGTTAATTCGTTTTAGTTCGATAGAAGGCGTCGCTACATGTATCAGAAGCATGAACCAATCATATTGAAACCGCGGAATATGCAAATTTTTAGTCGGGGATGAAAAGAAATTCCAACATTATCTCGACCAATCAGAATCAAGTTGCGGAATTTGCGTAATTTCATTCGGAGGCGGCAGAAGATATGAATGTGATATTAGCCAATCAGAATCGAGCAAATTCGCCGAACGAAACTGCATTTAGTATAACACGAAACCGTAAGAGGGCGTCGTATTCAAAACCAACCAATCAGAAAGCAGTATCCGTACTAACTCAAACTTTAGCAAATTTTCATTGTCTCCGACTTTAATTCCATGCAATTTGTCCAAGATTATTTCGGAAATTTGAGCAATTTTGCATGGAATTAAAGTCGGAGACAATGAAAGTTTGCTAAAATTCCTCTAATTTCCGAAATAATCTTGGACAAATTGCTAAACAACAAAATTTTTCAGATGTCGAATAGCGAATTCAACTTGCCCTCGATAAATCTTCAGGCTGATAAATACGGATCGGAACAGACTGAAACGACGCCGATCATTTGAAGAAAGCCAGAAAATTAGGCGAAACAGAATGAAGCAAGCCTCAGTAACGAACTTGAGACAGAAATATGCCAAAATTTTGCCAAATTTCCGACTAAAGAGGTCAACAAAGTATCAAGATCAAACATTATGGTGAATCATATGAATACACAACGAACACACGGATTGTGTCAGACGACAAAAAGTCCTTCGCAACAGGACTTTGCAAACTGCTAGACGCGTGTTTGCTGGCCGAGTTAACGGCGGGGGATTTTTAACTGGGACCGTTGAAGAAAATCATTTTGGCCAGAGACAGACAGGGATTCATACGGCTGGGAAACTACATGGCCTGTTTCTGGGAGGATTTCGCAGACATCAACGACTGTGTTATAATAGATTATTAATTGGCGATTCCGTGTTCTCTACGGTCTACGGAGCGATAAAAGGACATATCCAGGTCAAGAAGCGATAATAGACGCCGCAGTTTATATCCGGTGGCCACATGTGCTCCGCGAAAATATCGAACTCAGAATTGTAGACAATGCTCAGAATATGGTAAGAATATCAAAACCTTAAAACCATTGAATTCATCTAATCCACCGCCAGATTGGTTGTACCGAGTGAGGAATTACAAATGGATTTCGCTGGCTTACATTTGGATATTCAGGTTAGATATGTCAGAATATTGTAGGGAAAATGGAATTAAACAGATATTTTGTCCCGCGGTGATCATCATGGTTGCAGACTAGTTGAACGATGTATTCAAACAATCAAGAGCAAATTGGGGACAATGCAACTGGATCCCAATTTCACTAAAATCAATCCGCAGTTAAACTATTATTGAAGATATTCGGACCGTCAAGCATACTTCTCCTAAAAATTCACCATTTGAACTTCATTTTGGATGGAAACCGAACACTTGTTTTTTGCTTTTAAGAAGCAAACTTTTGGATAATTTAGATCGCAAAAACTTGGAAAGGGACATGCTGACACCTGAGCAGATGAGAGAATCGTCGGATTCGAGAACGAGGCTCAAAGCTGTTCGCCGGGGTGAAACGAGCAGCACTATGTCACCAAAAATTGGACGACGGTCAGGTTTGACGACGCTGGAAGGTTTGAAGATACTAGAACTTCTGGCAAGGCATCCAGTTATTGGCGTCTAATCAAGAAGCAGTTGAACCATGCAAAAGGAGCTGAAATCCTCAGAAATTTCAGGGACAGAAACCAAATTTCGGCTTCTACATTTTTGGCTTCTTGCGAAATGATTTCAGCAAGAGGAGCTGAAATCCTCCATGCAAAAGGAGCTGAAATCCTCAGAAATTTCACGGACAGAAACCAGATTTTGGCTTCTACATTTTTGGCCATTTTTGGCTTCTTGCGAAATGACCTAAATCAAGGCACATCGAGATTTAGAGTTGAGGGGAGAAGCAGACAAGTCGTCCGAAATCATCACGTAATCTTAATACGATTATATCAAATTCTCTGAAATCATCAAGTACTCTGAATCCAAACAAAGTCCAAACAAATTTCCGACTAAAGAGGTCAACAAAGTATCAAGATCAAACATTATGGTGAATCATATGAATACACAACGAACACACGGATTGTGTCAGACGACAAAAAGTCCTTCGCAACAGGACTTTCCAAACTGCTAGACGCGTGTTTGCTGGCCGAGTTAACGGCGGGGGATTTTTAACTGGGACCGTTGAAGAAAATCATTTTGGCCAGAGACAGACAGGGATTCATACGGCTGGGAAACTACATGGCCTGTTTCTGGGAGGATTTCGCAGACATCAACGACTGTGTTATAATAGATTATTAATTGGCGATTCCGTGTTCTCTACGGAGCGATAAAAGGACATATCCAGGTCAAGAAGCGATAATAGACGCCGCAGTTTATATCCGGTGGCCACATGTGCTCCGCGAAATTATCGAACTCAGAATTGTAGACAATGCTCAGAATATGGTAAGAATATCAAAACCTTAAAACCATTGAATTCATCTAATCCACCGCCAGATTGGTTGTACCGAGTGAGGAATTACAAATGGATTTCGCTGGCTTACATTTGGATATTCAGGTTAGATATGTCAGAATATTGTAGGGAAAATGGAATTAAACAGATATTTTGTCCCGCGGTGATCATCATGGTTGCAGACTAGTTGAACGATGTATTCAAACAATCAAGAGCAAATTAGGGACAATGCAACTGGATCCCAATTTCACTAAAATCAATCCGCAGTTAAACTATTATTGAAGATATTCGGACCGTCAAGCATACTTTTCTTAAAAATTCACCATTTGAACTTCATTTTGGATGGAAACCGAACACTTGTTTTTTGCTTTTAAGAAGCAAACTTTTGGATAATTTGGATCGCAAAAACTAGGAAAGGGACATGCTGACACCTGAGCAGATGAGAGAATCGTCGGATTCGAGAACGAGGCTCAAAGCTGTTCGCCGGGGTGAAACGAGCAGCAGTATGTCACCAAAAATTGGACGACGGTCAGGTTTGACGACGCTGGAAGGTTTGAAGATACTAGAAACTCTGGCAAGGCATCCAACTATTGGCGTCTAATCAAGAAGCAGTTGAACCATGCAAAAGGAGCTGAAATCCTCAGAAATTTCACGGACAGAAACCAAATTTTGGCTTCTACATTTTTGGCCATTTTTGGCTTCTTGCGAAATGACCTAAATCAAGGCACATCGAGATATAGAGTTGAGGGGAGAAGCAGACAAGTCGTCCGAAATCATCACGTAATCTAAATACGATAATATCAAATTCTCTAAAATCATCAAGTACTCTGAATCCAAACAAAGTTTAGGAAGAGAAGCAAATAGAGATTATTCCGGCCAGTCCTAAACAGCCGACAGCCACTCAAACGCCCTTACATAATCCAGAACCACCACAGATGAAACTGAGCACGAGAGCGAATGAGCCAGACAAACAGCCAGAAATATCACCGGTCAAGGAGAGTCAGCCGAAATCACACGAAGTAATAGCAGCACCGAAGAACTAAACAAGAGGCGGAAGAAACCAAGTCGAATGTGTCAAGTTCATCGAGAAGTTCAGGCAGGATGAAACGAAAGACTAGATTTTATGGAAGCCCACCACGTCTTGCAGTTAATGCAGTTGAGGAGGCAGGGACGAGTGCATCGAAGACGCCAGCTATTCCGCAATCAGAAGAGCTGTATACAGCTTTAAGAGCGGTGTAAATCTCGTCAGGCAGTTTTCAATCGTCTGAAGAACAATCGGTAGTCGGAAGGAAAATAAGTACTAAAAAACTATGTGAACCCGTAGTGAAATCAAAAGTGGTTCCCAAAAACAAGTGAGCGGAAACTGTTATTGATTATTTAATATTTACAATTTGCATTAAAAATTTTTCCTATTGGGGAGAATGTGATACGGAATTATTCAAGGTCATCCTAAGATATAGCGACTTAGACTATTTAATCAACAACCTGTCAAAACTCTTCGTGCTAAAGTTGTGTGGGCTCTCTCATAGCTTTATCTTCTGTTGAAAGAGTACAGTTGATTCAATTCGTTTATTTATCCGTATCCATATGTAACTAAGTGATATACCATCTTGTAACTAGGCATCTTATTAATTTACTTTACATTGTTATAGTATTTTTAGTTTTGAGTTTAGCTAGCTGAATTTACGGATATCTCAGTCGGTTATGTTTCTTTGGTTTGATGCAGCGCAAATCGTGAAGCACGGTTTTGCCTGTTTATAAAAGTTAGTAAAGTTTGCTCCAACTCAGTATGCTTGGCCTTAAAACACCTAGACTGAGGTTAGCGATTTTTATTGTGCTGGGTATCCCGTTTTATCCCACATGGATCATAGTTTATTGCCATCAGTGCAGAAATATGTAAATGAATTGTGTTTACTTACTTCATGAAGTATAATCGGAATGTGACTGGGAACTTGAATTAACGGCTGAATTATCATTTTTATGTTGTTTCAGAATGGACTCTGGGAGCATGCGTCCCGTGAGGCGCACCCTCTACCCCTACGATCACGTGACCCTATCCCAGAATGTGATGTGGGACTGGTTGTGCGAGAGTGGTGCATGGTCTAGGTCAGTGACTAATTTTACAATTCATTGACGCAATACATTTGTTGGGTTAAAGGAACCTTGTTTCTTCAAAAGTGTAAGTCAAACTTTTCTATGATGCATCAATGATGTAATAGGGTTTACTTATGATTATAAGAGAGTATCAGGGCGCTGTGTGAAAAGAGAAGATTCTTCCGACCTCGGATCTTTACACTAAATTTTCGGAAAAGCATTTTAAAAAGTTTTTTTTTCGGTAACCATTTGATGAATAAATGCGAAGTTTTTCTTTACTTTTCAGTGCTGAAACTGCCCTTAAAGTAGCCGAATTGTAAAGTTTGTCGACTCGAATTGGTCAACTCCAGCAAAAATATTCTATCAGTTTTGTAAACTTGATAATAAATAGCTAAGTAAAGACAAAATTTGCTCGATTTTACATTTGAACTTTAATAGAGATATCCAAAAACAATTTTTGAAGAGTCGATGAACCTAGATCAGGCTCTTATACAGTGCTGATTTAAATTATCCGGACAAAATGAATAAAACTGAAATTTAAAACGCGTTTTTATCAAATTGGGTTGATTTTAGACAAAAATTGATAAACACCAGCCTTGCTTGAAATTTTATATAGTGCTTTATAAAGTAAAAATGACATGTTTTGGCTATCAAACGAAAATAAATATGTTTATACAAAGCTGAGAAATTTATACCCTTGTTAAATTTTGTTAGGCTAAATAAGAGGCTTGCAGTGATATAGTTTTGTCAGTAAATGAACGCATAGGTTTGGAGTAATTCTTGATAGACTAAAAAATGCCACAAATAATCGCTTTTGGGGTAAATTTATGGGCCCACAAAAACAAGAATCGCGATTATTTTTTAAAAAAATTTAAGGAAAAGTCATAAAATCTGTCAGGCTCAAATTTACTTTTTCGCGGCTCGACTTTCGATTTCATTTCAAGTATATTTCATTTCCTTTGTTAAAAAACGCAATTTCCACTATCGAACAGCGAAAGTGTAAAAGTCACGAAAAACGTGATTGACTTCTAGTTTCGAAAATGGAAATTAATTTTCAGATTTGCCCGCGAAATGAAAATTTTACCTATTGATCTAGTTTACTCAAATTGGGTTAATTTTATCAAGAAAGTGTCAATCATAATTTGTTCTAGAAATTCCAAGGGCTTTAAGGATTTTAAAAATGTTCGTGGAAATTCGAAAGTCCTTTTTTTCTATTTAACTGCGTTCTTTGACTCATTTCCAACTCTCCGTTGGCTATGTTGTATTCTTGTTCTAGGTTTTTTTTGCAAAGGTAACATTGGCAGTGTGCTAATTACAAAGAGTTGGGCAATTGCTGTTTGTTTATTGATTTTTTTGTTAATTGATTTTTTTGTTTATTTGTTGACTATTGTGTAGGTATGACGTGGACACTTGTGCGTACATTGAGGTGGGGAGACTGCACAAGAAGAAGGTGGTGGATCTGTACAAGAGCAGCTACCTCCCCTACGTCATCAACCTCAACGGAATGGTCCAGATCAAAAAAGACTCGGGCTTCAGACGCAAGGTGAGCTGGTGCTTTTTGTTGCCAAGTGAGTATCTTCCAGGGGCTTGTTCTAAAGTGACCCTTTTCGAGGGCAGTAATTTTTTGACTTGTTTTCGAGTGTTTGAGGGTTTTAGGCTGTTTGTTTTTCACTATTTCCTTGCAAGTTACTTCGATTTTATTGTCTTCCTAGTCGTCGTTACCTTTGCGATAAGACTTTTTTCTGTGAATAACCTTGTTTAAAGGCTCAATTCAATGTTCGTAGCGTCCCCGGCACGTTTATCCTGGAGATAACGAATATGCCTGGGACGGCAAAGGTCCTGGATTAGAATCTGACCAGGACGTTTTTTTTCAAACGAGAAGTTTTCTGTTTCAAAAAGATTGTCGGCCTATTGCAGGTCTTTTTATGCTTAGTCGGCTTAGTTGCTACATCTTAGAATCGTTTTTTGCTGCACGCAGTTTTCATGTTTTCATTATAAAACCAAAAAAAATTAAGACCAGTTACTTTTCCAAATAGTTTTCGGCATGATAAGCACGACTGTTTGGGCTTCATTTTGATGCAACATACAATCACCTACGACCTTTTTCGGAGGCATCTGAAATTTGATGAAAAATAGCCAAGGTCATAGTTTTGTCACATCTATGAGAATTAACAGGGAACAATAATCTGGATTTCCAGTGATGTTTTCAACGGTGGGCTTACCTTGATGATCGCTGGGTTAGTAAATGAATAACAGTTGATTATTCTTAGGTTCGCCGAACCGTGATGACTAATCATTTCCCTCGCGACGGCGAATATCCCGCAACCGCAGCTGAATCAGATGCTGCTGTTGAGGCTGTCCCTGAAACATCTGCTGAAAACACAGGTACAGATGACCTGGCAACTGAGTCGCCAGTTATGAAAGGTGCTTCGGATATCAATGTGGAAAATACTAAGTTGGCGGAACTTCCGGAAGATCAACCGTGTTCCTCAAACTCTTGTGCAGTACCATACGAAGCGAACATTGCTGGCGAGAATGGCATCGAGTTGTTGCAGTTTTCAGCCAACCAGTTAGATGACGAACATGTATCCTCTGTTGCTAATGGCCTTGAACCGCTATTGTATGATCCAAATGTTACTCTTGTCGAAAATACAAACGTAGTGTCTATAGGAGAGGCAACCAGTCCTTCAGAGTCAGGAGGAGTAACGTCTTCGGCATTAGTGACTATGCAACCGTCTTCGCAGCAGCAATCTAATGAAGACGAGGAAGAAAACAATGGATTTGGCCAAACTCAGTTCGAATACCTTCAACAGGTGTTCATGGCTCCGACTAATTCGTCCCATCTAATCACCCGCGCTTTTGCGTTTTTCACCGCAATGATGCTAGCACCGATAGTCCCGGTTCTGCCCCGGACCCCTCCGATTCCAGTGTACATCCCGCCTCTCTCGAGTCGCAAAAATACTCGAAGAGTGCAAGGGGTGCGAAAGCCGAGTAGTCCTGGTAAAAGTGGTCAGTACAGTCAGCAAATGGACATTGTTTTGAGGAAGTACAGCAGGAAATGTAAGAAACCACCTGAAGATGACTGTGCTATTTGCATGATGCCCTTGAACGAGTTCTCCAGTTTTGTCGTCAATGAAAACTTCACAGGTAATCAATTAAGCTCTGTATGGCCATGGTTGATTTTAATTGTTACCCTAAGCAAAAATTTGTTATAGTACAATAAGGTTCGAGTCCAGTAGTATCTCAAATTTTATATTTCAAGGCATGTTTTGTAGAGGTATTTTTTTATTGAGTGTTAAGAGCTCTTTTTCTGCTTTTGTATGCGTAATGCAGCTGAGCGTCTTTTGTCTGTTGTCATCTTTAAGGAGTCATTAGATTATTTCAACTGACAAAAAAAAGAATTTGGTAGTATTTCAATCTGAGGCAATCGATGATGGATTGTGCTCATGAAACCAATTTCCACATGAGGACGAGGAACGAAGATAAATTAGCTGGTGTCCCAGCCTCTCGAATAAGAGATCAGTTGTTCGAGACCTGTTACGACCCGTATTTGTCGAAAGATGTACAATCGTATAAAAGCATGACGCGTGAAAAAGTTATTATGGGGGAAACAAAACAAAGAAAAGAAGGAAGCTTTGAAGGTTGTAACTTTAGGAAATGTGCAAGCGGAGAGTCAAATCTACCAGCTGAAAGAGTGCATGCACACCTTCCACAAGACATGTGTGGAGGAACTTTACAAGAACGGGAACAGAGACGGATCCCTGCAATGTCCAACATGCAAACACGTGTACGGAGTGCTCTGCGGAACCCAGCCGCCGGGCAATATGCACTTCCACGTCATCCCCTTCTCACTCCCGGGGTATCCGGAGTGTGAGACGATCCAGATCATCTACAATATCCCTGCTGGAATACAAGGTATGATAGAGTTACTGCAGCCACAAAAATGATAATTGACTTTGAATTAGGGAGGTTCCGATAAAAAAATCTTGGATATTTTCTTGCGCTCTCCCCAAGCAGTGAAACCCTTCTTTGCGATGTTTTTTGATGCTTGCGGTCAATTTTTTTTCCGAGCGCTTTCACTCAAACTTATTATATACTGCCAATTTCATGAAAACTTTTGGGTTGGGTTTCAACCTTTATTAAGTGTAAAAGAGCGAAGTGATTGTTACTAATATAAGTCCTAATTTTTCGCGGCTTTACCTTTGATTTCTTTTTAAATTCAGTTCAGTTCTTTTGTAATAAGGAAGACAAACTCCACTATCGAGCACCGAAAGTGTACAGGTCACAAAAAACGTGATTGATTTGTAGCTTCAAGAAAGGACATTGGTTTTCTGAACTCCCAGGCGAATAAAAAATACCTATTGATCCAGTTTTCTCAGAATTGTTTAGCTTCAAGGTTTCATTAAAATCTTGATTTTCAAAAGAGTTTTAACGTGATACAATTTTTTCTACAGTTGAAAAATGTTTCAACATGTCTTTCGGTTTCCATGTTAGTTTGCACTTTTCCAAGTGGGCTAAAATGAATTGCTTCTTATGCAGATGTCATTAACTCGATTTAGATGAGTCATACGTTGCATAATTGAAGATGGAAATGTTCGGTGATATGTTACAATAGGTGGTAATTTTGAGGATAGTGCGTGCATGTATAAAATTTGAGAACTATAATGCATAATGTAGTCATTTCATTTTCAATCAATTGTACATGCTATAAGATAGTTTTTGTAATATTATTACTCTGCCAGATGAAATGCTATTCAAAAATTCAAATTTTACACTTCTTTTGCCACAAAAATTTGGCTTTTGAAATAAATTATAAATAATGTGGGAACTATAACAAACAACGAGCGAGCTATTCAAATTGACACTACCACCTATTGTAACATATCAGTAAATGTTCATTTGTTGTGTTGTGTTTGACTGATGTAGGGCTGGAGCACCCGAGTGCCGGCCAAGAGTACACTGCCCGCGGATTCCCCCGCAAGTGCTACCTGCCTCACAACGAACAGGGTATCCGAGTGCTCAAACTGCTCGTCATTGCGTGGGAGAGACGCCTCATATTCACTATCGGTATGAAACAATATTGGCTTAACACACCTAAACATCGCGTACGATAGTTTGAGTTTAGCAGTGAATTAAACAAAGCTGTCCTTCACACTACAAACACTATAGAAAGCAAAACATTTGAATTTGACTTTGTAGTGAGCAAAAAATACGTATACAAAATTTAAATCACAAGGATCGAGAACGAGCCCTGAGGCTCGTCAAGGCGAGACCCCGGAAAACTAAAAACACGAGAATTAAGATAAATTTATGCAAAATGATTCAATTTAAATCGGAGTTAGCTTTAAGGAAACAGCTCTTAATATGATATCTGTAATTATAAATTAGTTTATCTTTTTTTGTTTAAAAATGTCTAATAGCAGTTTGAATGAAGGTAAAAAGTTGTAAAGCTTTCTAAGCCTGTGGCTGAAAGAACTGTTCAGCCAATTAGTTCATGCTAGTTGCAAGTTAAAAATTTTCGATTTTCGAGCTCTGTTGTACCTGCTTTGTGAAAATTATTCCTTGTTTAGATTTTTTTATCTAGAAAAATTGGCATCACGGTTTCGATTTTCTCTAAAAATAATTGTATATATCCGTTTTTACACAAGCAATGCTTGTGTTATAGTATGAACTATCTTTTTTTCCCAACCTAAGTCGCAAATATTGTTGCGACGCTAATATTGTTGCGATAAAATGTGTTCAGTTTGAAAGTGTTCCTGAGCTTAAATTTGGAGATTTATTTCACCTTTGATCGTTTTTTGTGAAGTTATGGGGGTTAAAAATTGCCAATTTGGGACAATTCACGCACGATATATTACGCGCTATTAGCGCGTAAGCTTGATTTTATCCGTCATAGAAATCGTTCTAAGTTGGTTGAAGGAAGCTTATTTGCTATAATTGATTTTTACTAGGAGCGAAATTGATCTTTTTGTACTTAGTATGGCGTGTGGGGGATGCTTTTCACAAAAAAAAAATCTCAAATTAAAAAAAAATTCATTTTATTTTTAATACATTTAATTTTTTCATGTTATTACTGCTCCATAGACTGATCTATAAATTGAGGCATGTTAGTTGATAACTTTCTCTTTTTTTTCAAATTGAACGGTACTGCTAATGCGTCATAATTGGCATGCGTCCCTTTAGAAATTTTGTAGACTCAAAAATTTACTCATTCAGTTTTTCCCAGTAGCATTATTGGTCATATTTTTGCTTGTGTATGCGAAGTGCAACTTCGCCTCTGTGTTTCAATTATAAAACTGCAAAACATTTAATGACGAACAGCCATATGCTAATACGCCATATGAACATTTTTACCTAAGCGAACTTGAGAGCGTAGTGTATTAGTACGAACCTTCTTTTTTTCCGAACCAACTCGCAATTAAAAGTGTTCTAGTTTTAACTTTTTTGGTGGCACCTTTGCTATAATCACGATATACGTGGCATTAGAAATTTCATAGTATCTGTTCTCTGCTTTACTGGTGGCTGGTATTTGTGATTTATTAAGAGTCAGTGGTTAGTGCGTGAGACTCATAATCCTTAATGAACGTAGTGAGTACTCTTAAGTAGGTCTTGCTGATTTTTTTTTGCTTTTGTCAGGAAAAAGTCTTAAAATTTGTTCACGCTCAATTTAGATTTTTCGAGGTTTGACTTGTGATTTCTTTTTAAGTTCAGTGCATTTCCATTGTTAAAAGCAAAGCAAACTCCACTATCGAACATCAAAAGGGTAAAGGTCACGAAAAACGTGATCGACTTCTAGTTTCGAATATGCAATTTAATTATGAGGTTTCCCAGCGAAATAAAAGTTGTACGTATTGATCCAGTTTTCTCAAATTGGGTTAATTTTATAAAAAATGTGTCCATCATAAATTGTTCTACAAATTCAAAGAGTTTTAAGGCATCTATTTTTTTTCTTCGAAGCTCAAAAGTTGAAGGCTCTCGAAAAAACAAGTCATTACTCTTTTCATTACTGCGTTCATTGCTCTTTTTCAACTGTTAGTTGGATAGGTTTACTAATTCGAGTCTTATTTATATTTTTTCTTTTTTACAGCTTCTTTTTTGTCATGTTTTCGCTAGTGTTTGCGAAGGGCACCTTCGCCTCTGTGTAAATCTCAGGAGTAGTTTTTGAGAAAAAACATTCCTCGCTTGATATTAATTGGTGCTGTCATAGCGGAACCGTTTTCAGAGCTATTCAAGTGGAACTGTCTCTCCCAAACTTATGTTCAAGATTTCCCAAAAATAATATTTAAAGGCTTTGGAAAATAAAATGGCCACTTCCAGCCCGATTGAGTTTTTTATTATACCTTAAACTGTGTACTATAGAATAATTTTCAGCGTGGATAGATTTTCGCTACAGCAATTGTTCATTTTTTTAGAATCTTAAAAAAATGAAGAGCGGCAAAAAATCGTAGTTAGGCAAAAATAGTTTGTAAAGGTATTAACAGTATATTTGCAAATGCAGATTTGAAAATGGGTTGTTCTGATTATTCAGGTCGCAGTGCAACATCAGGCGAAGACAATACGGTCATTTGGAACGACATCCACCACAAGACTGAGTTTGGATCAAACACCACAGGACACGGATTCCCTGACCCTTGCTACTTCTCAAACGTTCTCTCAGAACTGCACGCCAAGAACATCACGGAGAGTTTACTGGATCAACACACGTCACCAGCAGAACTGTCGTCGACAATGCCTCGTCGTACGAGCGAAGAAGTGACGAACATTAATTCAGTGGTATCCCAGTCTCATCCGACAACTAGCAGTAACTTTTTCACTGAAGGATCAGGAGGCAATGAAATCACGACAACGACTTGTGTGTTAGACATATTGATAGCATCGACAAGTGATGTTTGTCGTTCCGAAAACTCGGAAAGAGTAGGAAAAGACGCCCAAAATGTTTCAGCCATAGCACCACAGACGTCGCATGATCAGATGCAATGCAAGAATCCTGAAGTTTTGCAATTGACGTTGTCACCAGGAGCAAACAGCGACGTCTTAACAGCAGAAGAGAGTGAGCTGAAATGTGACAATCTTACACTGTATGCTTCAGAACACGAAAACTCCGCGCTTATTTCTCAGATTGAACAAACTTGAGAAAATTAGAAATTTGATGTTTTATACTTTGCATCTGATTCCCTTTAAGTGTTCTATGTTCCCTAAAGCAGATTAGTATTTCTAACTTAATGTTGACTGACGTTTTGTTTTTATTCATTGCTCACGTCTTTTTTCAACTTGAATAGTTTTCCTAAACGCCAGTTTTATAAATTAATTTCCAAGTGTATGCAAACTATGATGCTCGAAATGAAGTTCAGGAAGTTGCCAAATTTGAGCGTATGTTGCTTTTTAAAGTATGACAATTTAGCTCCTTTTGCAAATCTAACGAAGAAATTTCAATCATGCTTAATTGCATTATTTAACCAGTGAACTAGTTGGAAAATACTCGTTGTCATTTCCGAGATAATATAATCATTTATATTTATTTTGGATGGTTCATACATTGTTCTATAACCAAATGGCTAAACTATCGAAGAGTGGAATGAACAACAATAACTGCACAGTCGATTCGGCTTAAAGTATTTTTCTTGATGCTTGTAGTGTAAATTAGAAAAACTATGAATTAGTTTAGATGAGTCTTTTCGATGTTACAACTGGTATGTATCTAAATGTGACAACTAATAAATTTTAGATTAAGTTTTTTTTTTCATTTTACACATAAAGCCTCAGTCAAAAAGTAGACACTTTTAGATAGCCGCATACAACTGAGCTACCCTTCAGCCATACAATTTAAGCCAAGCCTTCAAGTTTTGACATGAGATGGAATACTTTTGTTCCCACTACCGACCCACGGTGTAGGAAAGAAGCTGATATGTTAGAATAGGTAGTAAATTTGAGCTTAGTGAATGTATCACAATTGAGAACTATAATTCACAATATAGTAATTTAATTTCCAATCATTTGTACAAGCTACTAGGATAGTTTTTGCATATACTTAACTCTACCAGATGAATTTTATTAAGAGTAATAAAATTTTATTAAGAGTAATAAAATTTTATTAAGAGTAATAAAATTTTATTAAGAGTAGTAAAGGTCTTATAAAGGTCTTGCTGATTATTTTTTGTTTTTTTTTTCAGGAAAAAAAACTTAGGTATATATGCACTTTTTGAGTTCAGTTGAAATTTATCTGCTGAAAGTGACGTAAATAACACTCTCCAAATACAAACGTGCAAATGGCGAGAAAAATCGTGAATGATTTCTTGTTTCGAAAGTGGAATTTAATTTTAAGATTTCCAGCGGAAAAAAACTTTTACCTGTCAATCCAGTTTTCTCAAGTTGGGTTAATGTTATCAAAACAGCGCCAGTCACAAATCGTCCTAGAAATTCAAAGAGCTTAAAGGGCATCTAATGTTTCTTTCTAATTCGAAAATTGAGATTTTGTCAACAAAGTCAGTGTTTTTTATGTTCACGTGTGTGCATTACTCTTTTCCAATCTTCGATTGGCTATGTTTCAAAAATTGAAGTTTAAGATTTCTTTTGCCGTTACCATTTGTAATATCTCACCGGAAGCAACCATCGCAGACGGTTGACGCAGTTTAAGTTGCCCAAAAGAAGGTTTGGAGAGAATCGAGAATGGGTTCGTGTAAAATCCCTGTAAATTGATTTGTAGTCCAATTCTCACTGGACTTTTTTTATGACGCTGAAAGAGGCCAAAGAAGTAATCTAGTAGTTTTTACTGGAAACTAGGCATATATTTTTAACCCTCATATTAAGCAAGGGTATTGCAATCGGGTGTTAGATTGTTTTCCTGTGAATAACTTTGTTCACAAGATGACTGAAATTTGGCCAATTCTTTGTCAATCACAAATTCTACACAAGCTGCACGTCTATCAGTTGTAGTTCATAAACTGATTTAGAACTACTTGTTTTGCAGCTGAGATTTTTGTAGATATAATTGATTTTTTGTCGGCTTTGTTGACATCGGCCCAATTCTTGCCGGTTACACTCCGCCTCGTCTGCCCTATTAATGAAAAAGAACGGCCGGTTCCAAAAAGAAGTTGGAAAAAGAGGAAGGCGGGTGTCAGGAATGGCATCCGGTCCATAAGGACTTTGGTCTGACAATGCCCTTTATAAGGCCCTGCTTCAAACAACTTATGAAAAGTCATACAAGCAATGGCCCTCAGTCCCGCGCGCCCCTTAATTGTGCAGGAAACTATAAATGTCACTGTTTGAACTACTAATAAGACTTAAATTATTATGTATAAGACAAAAAGATACACCCTAAAAAAGAAGTCGTTCCGGTTATGTTATGGAGCCTTGGCACACTTAAAGGAAAATGCCTTGAGATATGCAAAAACTCTAGAAAGAAAGAAAAAAGATATCGATGTGCTGTCTAGAAGATACTCGTTTCAAAGGAAGCGGAACAAGAAATTTTTGAGATGGCGACTAAAATTGTCATTTTTTTCCGGCAAGGGAACTCAAAAAGCACAACTGGTGTTGCAATAGTCATCAATGGTCGACTTGCTGAAAAAGTATTGGAAGTTATTAAAGTAAATGAACGTGTTATACGCCTTGAACTTGTGAGGGCATACTGTGCGTAATGTTGTATGTGCATACACACCACAACCTGGTAGAAAGGTTTCAGAAAACGATGATTTTTTTAACACGCAAGAAGATGCTATGGTCAATCTACCTGACCAAGTATATACTTTCCTGGGTGGTGACTTGACTGAACAAATAGGAGAGTTGCGCCAGGAATTTGACTGAGAAGATGGCCCATTCTGCTTTGGGACTCAAAACTCAGAAGATCAGAATGTAGCCGTGCCAGTCACTAAATCTAGCCGTCCTAAACACTTAATTTGAAAAATGTTGCGATAATGATTACTGTATGTTTCAGAGTGGATGAAATTCCACGCAGATTGATTTTATTCAAACACGCTCGTAGAAGATAAGCTTTATCAGAAATTCTAAGGTTATCAAGGGCGAAGAATATAGTACTCAACACAGACGTGTGTGATTTCTATCTTTACCGCCATAAGTGAGATCAGTTAAAATAAAATCGAGAAATTTAATTGAAATACAACATCACATCAAGCACAAAGAAGCTATGAGAAAGAAGCTAAAGAATAATCAAATACAGGCGAACTGGAAAAATTTCAAATCGATCCTTCTGAAACAAGCGTAGAACGTATGTGGCAAAACAATCGGAAAAACCTGTGTGCAAAAGAACAGTCGTGAAACATCTAGCTGCTGAAGCTAAAACAATGAAGCCAGAAATGGAGTCAAAATCTCTCAAAACGGAGACACGACTCAAATTGTTTCGCCTCGCCAAGTAACTGATAAATGATCAAAGGGATAAGGTTGTAGCAAAACTCTTGAATGTTTCCCATGAGACCAGTCCGTTTGAAACGGAGGTTATCACCCAAGTGGCTGGCCCATTGGAGTCATTTACTATCCAGGACGTGGCACTGGCACTGAGAGAATTCAAAATAAGAAAAGCCCTGAACTAACAGGGCCAACTTGGACATGATAAAAACTAACTGGTAATATGGACTTACTGGACGTTTTGAAATCCTTAAGAAAAGGTGGGCCTCTTGTCTAATCCCTTCCGATTGGGGCGAAAGTTCAAGTTTGGCTTTATATGTCGAATATCAAATACGGATGCCGGTTTTCTTATTAGACAATTAAAAGAATTATTAGCGGAAAAGAGGAAACCCCTGCAATACATATTGGTTGATCTTGAAAAAGCTTTCGACCTTTTTACCAGGGAACTGATCCCATGGGATGATCTCTGATCAGCCCATGATCCCTGAGGCAACAGACTTCCCTTCCTGATGCGACTGATATTGTGTCTGCACACCTAGTCAAAAACCAGAATTCGCCCGCCCCAGAGATGCAGTGATTACTTCGAAGTTAAAGTAGGCGTGAATCCAGTATCTCCATTTAGCCTATGATGATTTATAATAGTAATGGAAGAGGCTACGAGAAACTGTCGTTCTCACAGAACCGTGGGATATGCTGTTTGCAGTTGACCTTATAATATCAGCTGAAACGGAATTCCAGTCTATTGAGAAGTTTGATACTTAGAACAAACCTGTACAAAAATGAGGTTAAAAAGTTAATTTGGATAAGACAAAGCATTTGATTTCGTGCCAAAAAAGCACTCCTCGAAAAAAAGGAAAATATCCAAGCGCTTGTTGTTAGAAGGGAATCGGCAAGGGAGTCGGCTGTTCTTCTATCAGGTTGACATGATTTCCGGTGAAAGTGACAAAATACCTGCATCATCGCTCAGAATTGCAGCTTTGCACCTCAGAATTGCACCTCTGTTGTTGAATACAGATATTGACTTGATAAAAAGCGTCATATCTAAGGAGCTTGTGTCCGGCCAATTCTTTGGTACTGCTCTGAAATCTGGGCGCTAATCAAGTCGTTATCCAGTTCTCTTATGAGTTTCAGTGCTGATATGAAAGCTCAGCGTAGGGTTACAGAAGTCACTTATAAGAGTTACCAGCGAAGAGTAATTAAAATGATAGGTCTTGTTGATCTGGACGAGCTACAAGTGCGGTCATGGCTACGGTGGAAAAGAAAATGACCATAAACATAAGCAGTACGTGCTTCAGTCCCAAGGAAAAGAACAGGAGGAGCAGAAAGACCTAAGAAACGCTGGATCGATTGTGCTAAACGGGACCCACAGACTGCCTTGATCGAATGGTATGGAAAAATGTATTATCTTCTATAAATAGCTCAATGCTATCCAGAATGCCATCATCTGAATGCTGGAGTTTGTCAAGCTATCTAGAGAAACCATTGCTTACGCACTTTCCGAATGTCCTAGCACGACACAATCGGAAAAGGACAACAAATGCATTAGTAGTAATAGTAGTAGTAGTAGTAGTAGTAGTAGTAGTAGTAGTTTTTGCTGTATAATTTAATTCTGTAACAGTTCCAGCAGATTTATGAATTCTTTTTTCTGCATTTTCTTTAGAAAAAGAGGTCATGGTTTTCATCGGCGCCGAAGTTTTAGAAATGAATTTTTTTTGAAATTATAACAGAAAAGTCAGAAACACGGATTGAAAAAATCATGAAAATCTAATGCAAAAAAACTTCTGATAGAATTTCAAAAAAATTTCTGATAGTTTTTTTGCATTAGATTTTCATTTTTTTTCAATCCGTGTTTCTGACTTTTTTGTTATAAAATTGCGTTATTGCGTCGACTTAGTTTATTTAAAGTTATTTGTTTGTGTAAATTTCCACAATTTTGTTTGCAAGTTTGACTGTTTTGTGTCCACAAAGAAAAGTGGAGGCAAGTTTTGCCAAATATCCAGGAGTGGGGTTCTTTATGGCTGAAGACTTCGGGTTTTTTTCACTGGTTTTTTTATAATGTTGCTATAAATTTCATTTTTGATTATTGAATTTTTTCACAGGTTTTGCAGTTTTTTAAGTTCTTTTTTTTTACAATTGTTTGTTTTTTCTCGCATTCAAACTTTTGAAGGTTTTCTAATTTTTTTTTCAATTTAATTTTAAATTATAGCAAATAGCGGAGAGGGTTTTTTATCCTTGATTGTTCCTGTTGGATATGCTTGTTATTGGTTTCAAGTTTTAAAGACCAGTTTTTGAGAACATTCAGGATTTTATTGTATCTCAATTCTTCGGCCGAAATAATTTCTTAGCTATTTCATCTTTTTGTTATCAGAAAG